GTTTCATCTTCTGTTTGCGGACAGCACAGTATTTGATACGATTATCCACCAAGCTGCGCTTGACATGATCTTCTTTAACAGTTTTCTAAAAGTCGTGGTGGGCCACAACAATAAAAAGGTGGGAATATTGAGTACAAAACCGTTTTCCGCATTTTTATGTTTTAAAATTGCACAAAATAGACAAAATTGAGTAGCTCACTCTCCTGTTTCTTCCTCCTTGCGCTTGCGCCCTAATAGTAAAGGTTAAAAGGAAGCTTATGACTTTGGATGTATTCAGAATTCTTCTCTTCTTCTTCAGAACCTTATTATGGGTGAGAGGTTTAGGAACGTCCTCAGTTTTCGCCATTTACCAATTGTTATATTACTAAAAATTACAATGATGCATGTATTGAACAAAGCGAGGAAATGGTAATGGAATTAGAAGTGAAATTGTGTTGGCTGCTTTGTAACTAACTATTAAGTCTAGTTCAGTACATTAAAACGTTGAGTTTAAATTCACAAAAGTTAAACTGAAATTAATTGGAAGATATATATATATATATAACAAAAAATCAGGATTGGTAACATAATTTTTAATATCAAATCATTGGTACAAAATATCTTTCAACTAATTTCAAAAACAATCATCAATATTCATCCTCTAGCAGTGCTTTGTTGAATTACGACATTTACCTTCACTGTATAAGTCCTTATGGTAACCATACGAAGTGTACATACGAAGAGGAGTTACATTCACCGTAATACTTCTTTTTCGAACTCCTATCAAAAGTTTTTATATGTTTTTGATTCTCTGACGCGTCACAATGATTGTTATAAAAAAACCTTTCTCTCTATCCTCCACAGTACTTACTAATTCAGAAAACTAAATACATCTATTTGTACAGGATGCATTAGTGGTATCCCTAAATTTTCCTGAAAAAAACTCTGCCCTCGTGCAGTAACAGAAGGCACGTGGTGGGCAGTATGTACGTACCAATGTTTTTCCAAACAAATCCTTTTTCTGAGATACATTCTTGTTTGATTTCGGCCTGTTTGTTTATCAAATGCG